TAAGTTCAATAGGTTAGATTAGGGGCTAAGTTAGGTTAGGTTGAATTGTTACATACAGTATATATATATATATATATATATATATATATATATATATATATATATATATATATATATATATATATATATATATATATATATATATATATATATATATATATATATATATACACACACACAAATATTTTAACAGTAACACCAGTTGACACTTCATTTGACACTAGTTTAATCTAACTCTTCTTAAACTTTGCCAGTACAGTAAAGGTTGCCAACTACTATATACTTTTTTCGTTACATGGTGTTTGTTTACTCCGGTGCATTTAAAACTGTGGTCACCGTCAACAAAGTCCTGAGGCGAGACCCACATTTTACCGGATATAGATAAAATTCTCGAATCTAGTCAGCCTCTGACCAGTGATTGTGCGTGATAGTGAGAGTGAGGTAATGTAATGTTATGCAACTAAGGGCAAAGGGAGGGAGTTGGTGGATACCATGATCAGGAGGAAGGGCGACAATATGTGTGTACAAGAGACTAAATTGACAGGGAAGAGTGCGAAATAGCTGGTAGAGAGCTACAAGTTGTATTGCTATGGAGAGCAAGGAAGGAGGAGTGTTGAGGGAGCGTTACTTACTGAACAATAAGGAAGATTTGAAAGAAACGGTATGGGAGGCCAAGAGGATGAACGGCACAATAATAATAGCAAGTTGGTGATATCACCCTATGCATCAAAGACAGGGTTACTCAGACCAAAGAGAAATATGTTTTCAGGGATGAACCAGAAAAACCTGTAGGACCTGCACCTCCTGGAGAGAAGGTCGTGATCGGTGCGGACCTAAACGAACACCTGGGCTGAAGGGTGGACAGGGGTGGGCTGGTGCCTGGAGGTTATGGCTTGGGAAGGAGACACGAAGATGGAGAGAGGATATAAAATACGGCCTGAGGCTTGGACCTTCTCTGTGTCAACACCGGGTTTAGGAAGAGGAAAGAACACTTGCTGATTTACAAGAGAGAGACACAGCAGTTAATGATAGGAACTATAATATGACAAATTGCAAGACGGTATTATGTAGATATAAAGAGTGAAGAAGGAAATGACTTAAGATGAAAGCGTAGGGTATGATGGAGCAAAGGTTTGTTGAACACAGCGAGGTCCAACAGAGACAATGGGGACATGCAGTTAAGTATCCATTGACAACCAAGTAACCTAACTGTACTGCACTTTTCCTTGTATTGTGTTTATCTATATTTTACCCAAAATTCTTTGAAGATATAGTTCATAATGTATTTAAGGTAAAGCAAGTTAGTTCAGACATTTAATGTAATTTTCTCCTTCGTCAAACTCCCACAATACTTAATTGTTGAATCTAATAGTAAAGAAGATTGGACTCCGTGATATAGAGTCTGGGGGTTTATTTTTATTTTTTTACTGAATAGTATATGTGATCATAGAAGTTCCATTAAAAACATACAGTACTATCAATTGACGTTGCGCCTCTTACGCTGCACGAATTAAGAGTCTGGATGATGTATATCTTGCTGGGCATCCAACTCCCCCAGGTGATGTAAGCTTTCCGTCACTGTCACTGTCACCTCATAAAGCTTACCTGTCTCACTACATATTAACTTGTAATAAGAGTACTTAACACTTTTTTCCTTCAATTAATATACAGGTGATACAAAATGATTTGATGGCTAACCAGAGTAGCTCCTGACTCTCATACATACATACACAAAAAATATGGGTTAACAGTTAATGCTGTAAACACGAAAGTGCTGTTTTTTCCAAATTTTAAATAATTCCTAAAATAAAAAAGTATGGTAGGCAAAAGGGAACTTAAACAAGTGGAAAATTTTATGTTTGGGAAATAACATTAGTTATGATGGTGGATGTACAGAAGAATTCAAAACAAGAAAACGTCGAGCAAAAACGGCATTTAATAATCTAAAAGACCTGACAAAAGGGATATTAACTTCAGTTTGACAAAAAAAGGCTGCTGAAACGCTATATATGGTCAGGAGAGTTGTTTGGGTGGGAATTATTGACACTTTCAGTAGACCCCAAAATGAGGTTAGAGGCCTTTGAAATGTGGTGTTATAAGAGAAAATTAAAAATAAGCTGCACTGACGAGAGAAATACTTGAAATTTATAGAATAAGAAAAATGAGATACTCTGGTTATATAATTAGAGCAAAGTTAAGGGTAGGAGGGCCAGGGGAAGGCAGAGATTGGGATGTATAAATGAAATTAAAAAGTGAGCCCCCAGAGAGATGCATAATCTCGGAGGATTGGTAAAAACATCCCGAAAACCTTAATAGTGGAGGACTGTGGTCAGTGGTCACCAACCCTCAGATATGAAGATGATACTTTTAATTGATTGATGAATGTGAACGACGCTATAAATGAAAATAAAGCCAATTTTACAATATACAAATAAATTTTCATTAAGTTGCAGCAATGCAAAGACAAAATTATCTATTTAGCAAAAAGTTTAGTAGCTTCTTTAAAGCTTAATCGATAATGTCTATATAGCGTTTCGAGATTATCATTAGTCCGTATCACAAAGTACAAATAAATTGCAATAAATCATGCGAATGATTTCATATAAATCTCAAAACCTAACAAGGAAATTCAATAATGACATATTAAATGAATTTCAAGATACAGGACTTAGTTGCTAATAAGACAAATGAATATCAGAATTAAAAACAGAAATCTAATAAAAGGAAAGAGTGGCTCAAGACCAAGGTGTGTTGTCACTCGCATCAGAGGTAATGGTCATCCACTGTATGAGAAATATTTCACACTTGCTTCCAGGTGTGTAAAGAGACCCATCATAGAATTATGGAATAATGCTTAGATAAATAACAAACCTTACATTGGTGATAACATCAGATATTACTGTGTGATGTGTCTGATAAACTTTTGATATGATGTTTTGTGTTTAATAATGACAGGTTTTGATGCTTAATTAACAAAAATAAAGGTATAGTTATCTGCTTCTTCTTCGTGACGATAAGGTCCCCTAGAATTAATTTTATTGATGATGATAAACAGTATATACATTATATTATATATTAGGGATCCCCATTTAGCCAGACACCACTAAATCTTCCATATATCTGCCAGCTTACATGTGACTGATTGAAAATATTTTATTATTACAAAAACTGTAGTGTGGTGATTCATGAGTCATGTCTAAAATTCGATTAATGTCTTCTCTAGGCTGTTGATTTTCAGTATTTTTCTACTGTCGGAAACGTATCCCTCTAACCACTCTCGTAATAATAGGATTGTGAATCTCTCGTTCTTATCTACGGCAAATCAACTATATGAAGATTTTTTGTTTTTATAATGTATATGTCTCGTAGTGCCATAGTAGCAACTCCTGTTCCCACGTGGAGGAACAGGGTTTGATTCCTGACTAGTGAGGCATTGTTTGTATTTATGTATGTATATAGAACACGAGCATCTTCAACTTTACCTGGGAATTGTATAACTGTGTCAAATGCTGTAGCTACGAAAACTTAAGGAAGCTTCTCATTTACTGCAATAATCATTTTGCTGCCAAGTGGTTGTCTGCACAAATATATTGTTTCCTTGGCCATCAATGGTTCCTAACACTAATACATTTTGCCACTTAACACCAATGGTTGCCAACAATAACACATTGTGCCACTAAAAACCACTGGTTGCCAATAATGATACATTGTACCACTAAACACCAATGGTTGCCAACAATAATACACTGCACCACTAAAAACCACTGGTTGCCAATCAATAATAATACACTGCACCACTAAAAACCACTGGTTGCCAACAATAATACATTATATCACTAAACACCAATGGTTGCCAACACCAATGGTTGCCAACACCAATACAATACAGTGTTGAAAAATCAATGGCTGTCGGTATTACAATATTGTACTATTGGTCATCAATGGTTGCTTCCCCTGATGTCCACCAAGCCTATCAAAGTAGAGGCCACTGAATGTTGTCTCAGATCATAATCAGCTTTAACTAAGGTAATAATTTAACAAATTCAAGTAAAACTTAACCTTACCTCTCCATAGGTGTACACATTCCTACTAAAATTTATCTCACTACAAGCATTTGAACTAAACCTTAAACAATACTATGCATGTGTGTGTGTGTGTGTGTGTGTTTCTATGTGTGTGGGAGTTTACTAATGGGTATATATGTTCGTGCATGCGTATTTGAGTAAGTGCATACGTGTACATGTGTTTGTGTACATAAGGATGCTCTTGTATCTGCTCTTGTCTGGAAACTTATTCACTAAGGAGTGTGTGTGTGTGTGTGTGTGCGTGGACCTGTGTCAGTGATATAAGATGCTCGACACCACCCACATGACCTTTGACATCAGGCAGCTGAGAATCACCACTACACAACGCAGCTCACTAAGTGGGCAATCTGTAATCTGTATCTGCTCACTAAGGATGCTTGCTACTCAAGCTGTCTCACTCACCACTGTTGTTCATCAATATGAACATCATATTTAAGTTTTTTGATATATTTCAGTCACACAAAATCACACTATGGCCAATCACATTAAAGTCTGCGTGCACACGCACACACACACACACACACACATACACACACACACACACACACACACACACACACACACACACACACACAACTATGGACGCGCGCACACACAAACTTACGTACAAACTTACAAAAGAATATGCTTAGAACGTATTTCCATATGACTTATTATGTAATCATTTTTAAACGTTCTTGTAAGAGAACTCGTGTTAGACAAAGATGATAAACAGAGTAACATAAATCATATGATAATCTTGAGAAACAGCCAGGATAGGGTCACCATCACCAAACAGCTTACACTGGGATAGTGTCATCCCTGGCTTACAAGTGTCGACAGTTAATACACGATTGTAGACAGGGAACGATGACATGAGTGAAGTATTGTGTAGAAGAGATTATGTGAGAACAAAGAGTGGACAACAGCAGACACTTACCCTAACGTGGTCATAGTGACGATGGTATACCAGAATGCTGATGGGATGGACGTGAAGGTGGTCTCTTCTACATTCTTTTCTGCGTAGAACATGACTGTGGCGAAAATAATGATAGCCATGGCCAAAGAGAAGACAAGGAACCCAAGTTCTGAGGCGCAGGACTTAAGCGTGTAGCCCAGGATACGCAGCCCTTGGGAGTGGCGGGAGAACTTAAAGATCCTGAACACTCGGAACACTCGCAGAGTGACGAAAGCGCCTGAGACGTCGTCGTTGTCGGTGATGCCCAGCCCGATATAGTAGGGCAGAATGGCCACCACGTCGATGATGGACATAACAGAGCGTACAAACTTACAGCGGTCGGGCGCCGCAAACATACGCAGTAGGTACTCTGCCGTGAAGATCATCACACACGCCGTGTCACCACAGAAGAAGATTATTTTGTAGCGCTCACCACAAGGTTGTGACTCCTTCTTGCCTGGTAGGCGTCCACATGGCACCGTCTCTACCACATTGGCCATCACGGACACGGCAATGAAGAAACCAGTCACGTAGTAAAACACTAACGCCGCCGTTGACGTGTGAGGATTTTCAAATGCGCGCCACATGCGCTCACGTATTGTGCGATAAACATATTTGTCTTGCTCTCCGCTTTCAGAGAGTTTGTCGTCCAAAAGCCGCTCGGCATTTTCACGTTTGCGGTCACGATAATCTTCATAACAACAGTCACCAATCACGTCGGGAATTATACCAAAGAAGGCAAGCTCCTCGTCGTAACTGGTGAGACACTCATGTTTTGGGTAGTGGAGCTTCCCCGTGCGGTAATAGTTGAGAATATGCCGAAATATATCGGGATCTCGATCAAAGAAGTATTCTTTCGTTTCTTCATCGTAGAAGAATTCTCTCTCATTGGAACCGAGGAGTGTATCAGGGTATTTCTCAAGCGTATTGCGCCAGGTTTCAAACCGTCGCCCCGATACATTGATCAGCAACTTCTCATCATCTGGGCGCCGCTTATCCTTGGGGATGGGCGGCGCCGGCAATGGGTTGTTGGCGATGGGAACCCATCCGATGGCAGCTGCTCGAGCGAAGGGCAACCAAGCGGCCACCGAGGCCATGCTGTGCGGGGGAATGTTGCTGGTGGGGGCAGGCGCCGGTGCGAGCCACGACAGTTAAACAGCACGCACGCACACAGGCACTGGGGATGCCGCCCTATGGTACCCGCCTATTTGTACATGTTTACCCTCTGGCACGATCACTACCGGTACCACTGCTCACTATTGGTCACTTTGCACTTGAAACACACAGCATAACACCCTGGAAAATCGCAAGCAGGGCAGAGGAGGGTGTTTCCCGCGCCCGCTGCTCCACTACTGAACGGGTGTGCGCAGCGGGACCCTCAGTGCCATGCGCGCATCGATCTACACAGCGCCAGGGTAGCGGCACAGATCCACCGCACTGCTATTTCATAGGCACCTGACTCCCCACCTCGGCCACCCGGACCCTCCCTCCCCATCTCTCTTACACACACCATTTACATCTCTTACAAACACTCGCAAGTTATTACAACCATGGGTATCTATGAGGAGCCAGTCATGACAGCAATTAGCAAGCGTTTTGGATGCACGCGTATAGTGCGCGTGTCTCGTCTCCATGACAACATATGCGTGAATAAGCTGTACTTGTCTAGGATCTACCAAAATCTGAGAAGTTTTCGTCCAAGAAAACAAATTAAATATTTATTTGTTATCATTAAATTTAGTTATTTATGTTTACAAGACCCGAACAAAAATTGATTCCATCCCGGACTCACCATAATGTGGGACGCGTTGAAGAAGTGATGAAGACACTGAAGGAAGGGACTGAGAGTCTCACAGTAGCGTGCAGTGACTGAAGGTGGTCACCTGTAATTACCAGGGCTGTTAGCTCATCGTAGCGCACCACACAACGTTACACTCACCCATTTACTGTTTATTTATTCCTTCTGACTCCTAAGAGGCGATTCTTCTGTTCTTCCTTAGCATGCACCTGTACTCAATTATAATTACCCTTAAATTTAAAAACACATGCAGAAAGCATCTTGACAGGTAAATGTATCTTACGAGAGAAAAATCTTTATATTCTCGATGTTTTAACCCATTGAAGTGGGGTGGACTGTAAAAGGTGTGTTTACCGTGCGTCTTCCCAGCTGACAGAGACCCGACAGAAATAGATATGTTAGTATTGTATCCAAACACCGCCGACTCCTTCTCTCAGCAGCATGTGACCAGTTACATTGCATGACTCCGATGAGATGGTTCACGATACGTTACTTGCAATTTAGAATTAACTCACAGTAAAGAGTTCTTCCTGTATTATGTGCAATATAGCCAATTCACAGTAAAGTATCTCGCTGTGTTATGTGTTACTTATGGGCAACTCACAGTAAATGGCTCTCGCTGTGTTACGTGTTACTTTCCTTTGAATGTGTCATTAACTGCGAGGAAAAACATTAACAATCATTGTGCTAGATTAATTTACGTATGCAACACAACTTCCCTGTTTTATATTTCATTGCAATTCGTTTATTTTATTCTCTTAAAAAAAGCCTATATGTCTTGTAGTTTATTATACCCCAAGCCGCATCCGAGTGAGAAATTAATTTACGTGATAGAACAAAAGCTTCGTGCCAGCCATTGTTGGATTTTTATGTGGTGGTCAGAGGTAAGTCTCCGGGAACTATACAGATAATCTCAAGCATACTAACAAGAGTGACAACTGTATGACCCAGCTGGTTCAGGGAGCTAAATGAGCTTGGTGGTTATTGTCTATATAATTAAATAACATGTATACAAAGATTATTAAATATCTTAGATACCAGTTAGAGAGAGTAAGGAAGTAGAGGAGTCGTGGGTGCCTCGGGCTGGCTGGGTGTGTTCTCGATAGGTGAAGAGCGAGTCTGCTGTGATCCGTGTCATGTACTCGGGGCAAGTATGGTGAGGATGGTAAAGTCTGCCTCATATACAGGGTGATCACATGTCTGGCTATGGTTTCTGATTTGTGTATAAGGTGGTGGTTTTGATATTATCTGGTTTGTTCTGAAAATAAAGGAGAGGAGATAGCGGGACCTCGAAGAAACACCATTTACTCATAAGAGATTGTGTAGTTCAAAGCGCCGATTAAAGAGCCAGCATCAACAATAACTGTATCGTCTTTGAAAAAGCCACTAGCTGGCATAAATTCCTCCATTATGCAGTCCAATGTGCCTCACAGAAACTAAAGCAGTTGGCTAATGATACAGGTATACAGGATATCAAACTTCCTGCCAAAATATTATGTGGCGATTTGTAGCAACTGATGGCAATTAATACCTTGGTATTTGAATGCTTGACAAAGTAAAAAAATCGACACCGTACTTCTCACTCTCAAAGCTGTTTTCCAGTCCTGATACCAGTCACAAAGGCCAAAGCTTTTGTGACTGGTGACCTGTATAGAGACTAACTGAAGATGGAACCACTATCTTAAAGCAGTTGGAGCTTCATCATATGTATCATAAGTGTCTAAATCGTCTTGGTCAAGTATATTCTTCAAAATCCTCCTGAACCAAAGACTTCAGTTCCTGATATGAAATTGCTGGTACAGCTGTATGGAAGAAGTGTCATTCTTGCGTTTCCTGAGGGTAAGCAGCAATTGCTTAAAAATGCATACCTTGTCCATGACTATCAAGATTAAGCTTTCATGTTGGTAGGGTAGCAAAAATTTGAAGAGAAAATATATTCATCGAGGAACATTATCAGTTTTCTGGCAGCTTCCCACCTGTGTCAGGTAGAAATGGTCTCCAATACTAAGCTCTTCCATTTTATGATTCTCTGTGAGTCAAACTTGTCTGGACTTGTAAATGATTCAATAGCCTGCCTTACCTTAGCCCAGCTTCTAGTCCACAGCTGCAAGAAAATTGCATAGGTTTTACCAGTTTTCAGTGGTCATTCACTGGATAGAGTCTCCCTCTTCTCTTATATGTAGGTATGAACGTCTACACCTTGTCAAGAAGTAAAAAGATAGTGGACCAGATGATCAAACAAGGAATCGCCGCCTCATACGCGTGGGTCATCCAGGTGGACAACTCACTGGCTACTTTTCGTAAGTAAGTAGCTCAAGGGATTCCTCATAGTGGATGCCATGGATGATCTTGATTATAACCCCTCTTCGATGACAGCCAGAGATTTCTTCTTTGTTGTAAGCATCAAAATAATCCAGAACCCAACCCTCTGTTTGCCATGCATCACTCCTATATGTGTCTTGTGGCCCCAGTGCGATCACCGTCTTTTTGTCATTGTTTACGGAAAAGATCAACTTCCCTACCATGATAAAGCCAGGCATTCGTTAAGAACTTCACTAAATTCCTCAGTCCTGGCCAAATTCCTGTTCTTGGTTGTGATGGCCCAATATTTGCTATGTATGAATTCTCCGGCTGAGTGCAAAAGAAAACTTCAAATGCTATTATAAAATCTGCCTTTAAATATATGATTCTAAGGCAAATATAGCTGGAAGTCCCACTTTTGGAGGTCTCTAGTGCCAACCGGAAATACCATGAGTGACTTTGGTCTTTTTGCATTAAGGTGATCTGCAGTTTTGAGTACCACATTACATATTGGCCGTTTTGTACCTAATACTCTGTAATAATTCTTATGTCCTTGAATGTTGTAAGTGTTCATAATGTAGAAAATAGACACAGAAAGGCTGCTCTCATTTATTCAAACAAAAATATACAGAACTTCACTTGTAATGACATAAATATTTACCTAAGCAGCTTCAACAGTATTACAAATTATTGAAACTTATCATCAAACATAAAACACAATTTAGTGAAGCAACAGCAGCATTTACTGAAAGTTGGAACATGGTAATTACATAATAACCCGAGAATTTTCAGCGATAACAAACGCCTATTAATTACTATGCATCTTAAATCTCCATCTCCGATTCATCACTACAACAATCATCACTGAGTGGTCCCTCTTTAAGGCTCTGTACAAGAGTTTGTTACCTTCTGAGATATAAGGAATGAGATCCATGAGGTCCTTCCATTTTTTAACTGGTATCTGTCTTTCAATTTGTGCCCTGTGAATTAGTGACATGTGCCTTGCCCTGCCTTTGAAGGTTTGTCTTAATTCTAACTTTTTCAATGTTTCCTGCTCAAACGTTTTCTTGTATAAGAAGGTTCAGTACTAATACTCTCTGTTTAAAGATTTTTTCTAATTTTCAACCATTGAATGTTTTCCTTGTCTGTGTTTTTCTTTCTATTCAAGAGTTAACCGTCAGAACAGATGTTTTGCTTGCAGAAAGTCTAATGTTTTCATTTCAATTTCACGCAACTTTTTCTTACTTGGTATACTTCTGAATATGTTAGACCAATATCTAGGCACTTCAATAACTGCAATGGTGTTTTTTTATTTTCTCTATAGCTGCATGAACAATATCTGTTTCCATGTGAGGCTGTCCAGGCCATAAATAAGTGTACACACTTTTTAGATTTTTTTCTGTGGTAACTCCATTCCCATGACGGACAAATACACGTTCCTATTTTGGCCACCACAACAGTCCGAATAGAGGCGCACATCTGTGATTTCCGGAGGCAACTTTTCCCGCCACATCAGAAGTGCCGATCCGATCTCTTCACTTCCCCTTCCTGCGATTGTATCATCCCACAACATACAATGTTCTTTGATTTCTTCGTATTTGTTTCATAGATTGTGAGACTGTGTACTACAAACTACATTTTATATAATAGTTCACCAGTCTTCAAGACGGAATTGTTTTAGTATAGCCTGAGTGTCCATCGCAACGATATTTCATATTATTTTATACTGTGTACTTTATCTCACTTCAGGTTCTGATGACGAAATAAGATTCTTCTGAAACGTGACTGTTATTAAATAAACCAATCCCTAATACTAAGATACAACACATTAGTTACTTCTAAGAAATCGATATTTTTTCATAGAAATTAACAGAGCAAAACCAAGAACGAGGCCAGATGAGCATCGTCTTCCCTGAGTTCGTGGCTCCTTTACGTTCTTATAGGGGAAGCACAGACAATTTCTCTTCTGTAGATACGATGAATTATTCTAGTAATTACAGAAATGTTTGAACCCGATTCTTACATTTCTGATAATGCTTCCCAAACATTCATTCTACTGATGATATTGACGCACTAATACATAAATGAAATAATACATTATTTTATTTATTGCAAAAACACTAAAGTCATGTCCCATATGTCTACAGTACATCTCAGGAAAAAACATTGATATATGATACTATGGTAAAGGATTAGAGTATGGGGTTAATGTGTATGTGGGGGTGAGGGGACAGGGGAGCACACGCCCA